GGAATAGAAAACCATCATAATGTGCAGTTCCAACCAAATTTGACTGGTTCCATATTTGATTATCTAGATTTCTCTTAAAATGTAAAGTAAACTATCCCGATTTAAAACTTAATTTTACCTTCTGAAAGAGCATTTGGCATTTGTATACATGAAAAAAAGCCAAAATAAAGAGAATTATGTTTTGCATGCATTAGTTAAACAGCTAAAAAACATCCATTGGAGTAGAAAAATCATCATAACATGCAGTTCCAACCAAATTTGACTGGATCCATCTTTGATTATTTAGATTTCTCTTAAATGTAACGTATACTATCACGATTTCAACTCAAATGTACCTTCTGAGAGAGCATTTGTATGCATGGAATAAGCTAAAATAAAGAGAATTATGTTTTTCATGCTTTAGTTAAACAGCTAAAAAACATCCATTTGAGTAGGAAAACCATCATAATATGCAGTTCCAACCAAATCTGACCGTTTCCATATTTGATCATTTCGATTTCTCTTCAAATCTAAAGTAATCTATCACGATTTCAACTCAATTTTACCTTCTGAGAGAGCATTTGGCTTTTGTATGCATGAAAAAAGGCCAAAATAAATAGAATTATGTTTTGCATGCATTAGTTAAACAGCTAAAAAGCATCCATTGGAGTAGAAAAATCATAACATGCAGTTCCAACCAAATTTGACTGGATCCATCTTTGATTATTTAGATTTCTCTTAAAATGTAAAGTATACTATCACAATTTTAAACTCAATTTTTCCTTCTGAGAGAGCATTTGGCATTTGTATACATGAAAAAAAGCCAAAATAAAGAGAATCATGCTTTGCATGCTAATATTTCACATTCCCATTTTTGGAAAATTATTAGGAAAACCATCATAATGTGCTTTTCCAACCAAATTTGACCATTTCCATATTTGATCATTTAGATTCCTCTATAAATCCAAACTAAACCGAGGGCTGTGGGCCTGTTTCCTGCAGCTACGCGTACAGCCGGAGGGACCTGGCCTCCGTGCCCCTCCTGGCCTGCGTCAGCGTGCTGACGGGGAAGATGGTGGCCATCAACAGGAAGTCCAAACACGTCCGGACATCGGCCGGCCTGAAGGTGCCCTACGACCACCTGGTTCTGACCACAGGCCTGCAGTACCAGGTGAGAAACCAGGACCCCTGGTACAATACTCCCAGTCTGGATGGAACCTCTAAATATGATTCTAACTGGTTCCAGGACGAATTCTGTGTTAAATATTGGTGTGTTGGTTCAAATCTTCCATCAGAATACTCTGTAATTCCTAGAATTGGTTCCAAAAACCTACGATAAACTCCA